CAATTAACCCCATGTGTTTATCGGCCAGGTTGGCACAATAAACTAACTCAGGAAGCATGTAAAAATCAGAGCCTAATAATGGAAAGTTAAACCCAGACAATGACAATCTCCATTCCTACTAACTTGTCCACATTTCTCCCTTCTTTCCCACCTACCTGGCTGTAGGTATTCAATCTCATATTTTTTTTTGCACAAATGAGCAGATACATGTATTTTTAAAAAAATATCCTTTTCTTATAATGATAGAGAATATTTTTAACTTGTTTCTGGAGCACAGAATAATATCGCTGGCTGCTATGTGATGGAATTGCTGACTCATTGAACCATGCATCCCTGCTAATCAAAGCCTGGGGTTGTATCAGAGCCTGGAGCTGGGAGTGAAACAGGTTTAGTAGTAAAATATTTGGGGACTGAAGTACTGCACTAAGTCAGTCAATGAATGACAGCATTTTCTGGATCTCTCGCTCCATGGCAATGATTTTTACTTTTCAATACCAGCTGCATTGATGCTACAGGTATGCACGTTTTCAAATGGTCTACCCAAATTGTGAGGCTGCTTTAATGAAACTCTCAATCCAACAGTGTGCTGATTGAAGTCAAACTTAAAAATGAAATCATTTTTATGGCCCAGTAGGTCAAAGTAAGGCAGAGTGGAATAGTTCATAATAGTCAGTCTTTACTGCTGAGTCAAACCCCAAACCATCGATTGTGAAGCAAGCAGTCCTGAAAGACAGCGTAGCACTGCCCTCTGTGGTTCCTGAGACTGGAACTCCATACAGGCATAGAAAACCTCATCTTTCTTTGGAGTGACAGGTGGTTTCAAGCTGCTGACCTTACATGTCACAGCGCAACATGGAGCCCACTATGCCACCGGGGCTCCTCTTTGCCACCTGAGATCTGTATTCAATTACATCATAGCAAATGTGTCATTTGCATCTATTTATAGTAATATTGTGACTGCTTTAATCGGTCAACAGATATTTATTTAAATGGTTGAACACCCAGTACCTTCAGTGTAAATGAAAATCAAGTAATTACGTGCACATTCTACAAGTAAGTTGCTAATTTTGTAAGGGGAACAGATCACTATTAGAACAGGGCCTATTTAAGTTGAACATAAGCACCTGAAAGGCTGAATTCATTTCTACCTCCATGAGCATTTGTAAGGCGAATCTGAGGTCAAATGAGTTTCACCTTTTGAATAAAGCTGTCTAGGATGTGGCTGATAGAAATGGAAACTCTATTAGCTTTTTTTCATGCTGTCTAGTACAACAGCTAAACATTTCAAGGCTGTTTCTAGCCATTCCTCACTGAAGGAATACTAGTCAGGCGCTCTCTGTTTGTCTTGTCTTTGTCTCTGCCTGTCTTTCTCTTATCCACACAAAGCAGAGAATTAGTTGGGCATCTTAATTTATACATCTAGAGTACAGCAGTTTTGGCATCTTGTTTAGTGCTTTGAGTAAGACATATTTGAATTAATGGAGATAAACAACTTGTCCAGCTCTGGGACTTGTGTATCAAGTGCCACTGGAATAAAACGGGACTGCAGTAATTGGTGGTGCTTCTCATTGGAATGCTGGCCAGCCATAACTTGAACTTAGCAAACACAGGCAACCTTTTTTTCCTTTCAGCTGTCACCACGCACAGCCTGTAGTGCAGAATGCAAATCCCCAGGTGGGGCTGAAATCATCGCCTTCTCAGCATATGAGGGAGCGAATCCCAAAGCAATATCCAGAAAGTGCAGAGCAGGAAGGCCATGCTGTTTCTATCCCAGGATTTAGTGAGTCGGGAGAGGCAGCACAGAGGGCCGTATTGATGGATCACAACCAACAGGGAAATCCCTGCCTCATCGAAACATCGTGGTCTGCTCAGGAAGCTGAAACAACCCTGTGGATAAGACGTGTGCTTGTGTGTGAGGGGTAGGGTCGGGGGTGTGCAGCCTATGCAAATGGACAAACATGCACACATCTATTTGAACTCTGAGACATGTAGTCTAACAAGCACATCATCAGCTCAAACAAGCACAGTGTGACCAGATGACTAGGGGCATCAAGTAGTGCTTGGGGAGGAAAAGGAGTTTTTCATAGTCTAGTCGGAGGAGGCTCTACACACTTGTTGAGCTGATGTTTTTGTGAATGTAGTATGGTAGTCTATAAATCACGACAGCAGGCTCAGTTCCCTACTGATCAACAATCAGTGATTAGCCTATCAAAATCCCCAATTGTGGGGACATAGTGGGAATAGACAAGGCTTTGGAAATCAAGCTGTGATTTCCCTATTGTACACTGATGTCTGTTTATGTTTGGGTGTTTGCACAGATGTGATTTTCACTAGTCCAAGCTTTTCAGGATCTAGAATTGATTGCCCAATCCACCACACAGTACATTTTCTTTGGAAGTTTTTTTTTCTTTTTAATTTTTCTGCAAGAACTGAGAATGACTATTTAAAATGTAATTTTTCTTTTGTACATAGAAAGGAGTAAGTGTGAATGCTGGAATGGCCTATCACCTTCACACGAGCTATCCTACTTTGAACACATGGCAACTTGGCCAAGGGCATGTACCTTCTGTACTGTGACCTTGAGCACTCGCAAGTGCTTTCACCCACCCAAAGATGAGGAACATGGCTAATTCATGTTGTTCCCGCCCCCAACAAGGGACAAAATGGCAGTTTGAACACAGTACTGTGTGCTTTCAGACACTATGCTCTTAAGTGCTGGTCTATTCACCCCTGATTTTGCAGTTGTTGGTGAGATAGTGCTGGTGTCTCTATCTTCCTGTTTTATGCATGGCATATGACTGAAGGTTAACAAAAGTCATTTGACCAAGAAATATGTGATCATGCCTGGTCTCATCTTCAGTGATACTTTAGGGTTATCACTTCAAGGATTTAAGGTTTTCAAGATGGCATGTTTCTTTAAAGATCATACAGTTTTATTTTCCCATGACCTTCTTTTGGTAAGAAGGGAGTCCCATGGGAGTAAGGACCCTGGTAATACTCCATATTATGTGAGTTAAGCCTTGGGCTGGTAACTGCAGCCCGTGATTCCACTGGCCAGCTGTGGCACAGGGAAAGGATGAGCACGTGCGCTCCTGCAGAGCGGCACACACCTGGAAGCCTGCCGGGCCCGTTCTCGGTCTCATACGGCCACTGAATGGCAATATGCTTTTGGTTTGCTTCCTTTCTCTGCTTGCCTTGGGAGTGCAGACAGTTACTGTGCTCAGTTAACGACTGGGAGATTACGTCACCTCACTCAGGGTTGCCTTGGAATAAAGGACGGGTCATTTATTTTCAAAATATGAGGCATGGAAAACCCCTGCAGGGGTCCTCAAACTTTTTAAACAGGGGGCCAGTTCATTGTCCCTCAAACCCATTGGAGGGCGGGACTATAGTTTTAAAAAAACACTATGAACAAATTCCTATGCACACTGCACATATCAAAACTGGGCAAAAACACCCCGCGGGCTGGATAAATGTCCTTGGTGGGCGCATGTGGCACGCAGGCCGTAGTTTGAGGACCCCTGCCCTATGGAGTCCAGCTCTCCTCTGACGCACCTGAGCTTGTCATGAGTTATACCGACTTCACGGTAACTGGTGATGGGCTCTTGGGGACAGCTAATGGAACAGAGACAACTCACAGGCTTTGAATGTCTTTTCTATGTCAGCTATTGGCCAAAAGGTTGACATTAATGATTGATTTCTTAAACAATCCTAGCAGCTAGGCATTCCTTCTTTTTTTTCTGTAGAGGATCAGAGAGGTTATTTGTCTGAATTTTATTCTGAAATTAGATGGAAATCCAATTATTTCCAAGTGCAAAGTTCTGACTTTTCCGGTCCAGTTCTGCTTCACGGTTGAGCAGTGTCTCAGCTGTTTGCAGATACCCAGGGGGTGCCCTTCCCCTGTCTGGACGTCTTTCTTCCAGAAGTGCTCTTCTTCTAGTAGCCACAAGCTACCCATTCTTCAATACCATGCTCTACGGGTTACTTCCTTCATGATATTTGGTAACTTCTCCCTGCTCTCCTCACCATTTATGTCATAGACGTTGGTGTTTACAGAGAACACATCTTATGAAGACAACTTCTGTTGCTGTGAGTTGCTGTCAAGGTGATTCCAATTCAGCTACTGCACATGCTCAGAGTAGAACATGTTCCACAGGCTCGCCAGGACCAGGCCAGCAGGTCTGCCGGCCGAGATCAAACCACCAATTTTCGACTAGTCGTCAATTGACTAGCGTCTCTATGTAATTATTGTGGGTTGGATAACTGTTTGTTGAATGAAGGGAGAAAAAGAACACAATTCTACTGTGGTGAGGAAGCCTGTGGAATTCCTTTCCCTAACGAGACGCAGGGACTACTTGGCAAGTTGCAAAGGTAATATAATACACCACATGTCTGACAATCAGACGTGCTGTCTCTGTGAAACTCCAGAGACGGCACCTTTACGGAGCTGCTGGGGTAACTTCACTCTTTTGGAGATGGTATATGAGAGAAAGAGATTCGTGTTCTAATTTTTAATCTATCCCTAAAGTCCCTTTCTTTATGTTCCCCTGGCTATAATTTCTACAAATCGTTCCCCTCTCTCACTAAATCAAGCAGCTTTGGGAAGTGATTTACATACATAGGCCTGGTGTAAATAGGTCGAATTCACATGCTGCAACTGCCAGACAGCTGCCTTTTCTCACTGCCATAGAGGCGATGCTGACTCGTGGTGACTCTGTTCCTCCTCATACTCCCTAGAAGAAGGGACTCCTACTGAGTGTTTTAAAGTCCATTTGTGTGACAGACAAACATAATTAAGGATGGTGTATCTTGACAATGTACCAAGTTTATTAGTTTTAAAACATTTTTAGATCTGAACTACAGATGCAGTTAATAAATTTCCTGTGATATTAGCAACACATTAGACAAGATTTTTGCCCACTTATAATATTGCTCCCTAGGCATCTTTCATATAATGTGGGAATTCTGAATTGACATCTATTCCTGTTGCTTTTTTAAAGAGATGCTAAGATTGCATCGAGTGAGCATATGCGAGCCAGAGGGAGTGCAGACATGGCCTGGCTGCAGATTTGTGAGCCTACTGAGAAGGATAAGGGAAAATATACCTTTGAGATTTTTGATGGTAAAGACAATCATCAACGAACTCTTGACCTATCTGGACAAGGTGAGCTGACAACTTTTTAAACAACTAATTATTTTGTATGTAGTGAGCTACTTAGAATACTGAAAGGGAAGATGTATGTCAAGAAACAATACAATGTGATAACATTTGCTCAAAGGAAATTACTTCTGAATCAATTTACTTATTTAGCTTTTTTTCAGTTTTCATTAACTGAATTCAAAACAGTGCATCTGAGTGAATAAAAAAAAGGCTAAACCCATTGAAACAGTTAATGACAAAAATAATCTTTCATTGCAGCTTTTGATGATGCATTTGCAGAATTCCAGCAACTCAAGTAAGTCTGCATGCTTGGTTATTATTATGTAATCTTAGGATCTCGTTGACTTAGAGCCACTTTGTCTATGTGTGGGAGCATCTGTAGGTGCCTAGAAGACTCAAGGAATGTGATCATTTTGTGCAAAACAGACATTCTTATAAACTATAAATTTATCAATTAATATTTATAAAGTAGTCTTCAAGAGGCATAATCACTCTGGACTACTTTAAATGATTAAAAAGATAGATTTATAAAATAGCTACAATCATCGGAACACACCACACAGAGCAATTTACTAAGAATAATTTGATATTTTTTGTGTCTACTGTCTGAATTGTAGAATATCCAACAGTTCTTGATCCATATTATATATTTAATTAAAATTAGTTGAATGGGTGAACAAGTGACTAACATAAATCTGAAACCGATGATTTAAAAAATATCAAAATATCTTCAATGTAATTTAATGAACTAATTGGGAAAATATCTCCCCAACTTCTGCTTTGGAATTTATGGTTTAGCATCTGGGAAATACAGTTATTTCCTTCCCAAAATGGGTAGTGGGAGGCATCAAACCAATATGGATCCACAGATCTTTTAACCTAAGCATGTTTCTTCACAGAGAAGCCAGACATGTTTCTTTCTTTTACTTTCATCTCTAGCAAATCCCTCAAAAGTGTGACTTTGTTGTTGCTGCTAGCATTTTCTCAATGTTCTTTTAATTCTCGCTTTCCTTCCTGCCTCCTTTAATTTCTAGGGCAGCTGCTTTTGCAGAGAAGAGTAAGTAAATGCTATATTATTACAAGAACAATTTCTTGTTTGTATGGGGCAAAGGGTCCACATTTCAGAGTATTAATTTTATAGAGTGAATAATAAACAGCAAACCTTTTAACCCCAATTTGAAAACTCTTATGACCTTCATATTACAGATACATATATTTCTTTAACAACGTAGTGTTGTTCCCAGGCCTCCACCTTAGCTCATTATGAGTTCATCTGGCCTCTTTTTGATTCCCATTCCGAACCTCCCCTGGCAGAAACCCTGCCCTTCAGCCACCCGAGAGATTCTCTTTATTTCATGAATATATTGTGGATATAGATGGTGTGGCTTTCCTCTGATTTTAAACCTTGGTGACATCTTGCTCATCCTCAAACCCCAGGTCACATGCCATATTTCCTCTAGCTTTTTATGACCTCCCTGGGCACAGAATTACTTCCTATGTTTTCTCTTGGCCTTTGGTTTATACTTCAACTATATGGATTTGCTTTTGTGACTTTTCCCTACAGAGTGCAAACACCTCTTTGTAGTCATCTTTGTATTAGCCTAGTGCTTAACACAGGACTAACTTAATTCGTGTTTCCTCAATGAAATCACTTTAATGTTACAGATCGTGGCAAGGTGATTGGTGGTTTACCTGACGTGGTGACCATTATGGAAGGCAAGGTAAGGAAGAATGCATAGCCAGACACCAAGCCGGGGCAGAGTGAGGTGTAAGCACGGTGTACTACAATCCCTTCATTTCACGGCCCAGTCATGGGATGTTTCGAGGGCATGCTCTGCGCTACATGTACTTCAGCCTGCAGAGACCTCAGAACTCCTCACTCGCTCTCCCATCTTATTCTCTGCTGCTTCGGATCAGCTTTGTGTATTTAAAAAGGATATAACATCTTCATATTCTGAAACATCTGGTAGTGGCTTTCAGCCCACTGGGAAAATGTATAATCAGGGATCTGAAAGCAGGACGATGGCGGTTGTTATTGAGGACCACACCAGGTTCTGATGCCCTCGGTTCCATAGTCATTTAAAAGAACAGCTTACCAGGAGAAAGGCGCGTGCGCACCCACACCCACACAAGGTGGGTGCGCATGCGCGTACACATGCACAC